TGTAATATTGTAAAATGTATTGTAAATTGTACCTGTATATATAAGTAATATTTTAAAATATGTAAGCTAATAACCTTAGTTGTTGAGGCTTTAAAGTAATTAAAAAAAAAAAAAAAATTATAATATTATAATCATTTATAATGAAATTTTCCTAACATTCGATCACTCTCTATTCATTATTACAGTATTATTATTTATTTTCATTTTACTTTGCTCTCACCCTCCTTTTAAATTCCCCAGATATCCTATAATAAAAAATATTTAAAAAATGTCCTTAGTACTCCGTCGCAATTCCTTTTCAGCCTAGTGTGACAATTGACGACCTTGTATATTGAATTCCAAATCGTGTAAGGGTAACGTCACGAGGTTATATTTATCTGATTGTTACATACTAAACCTTTGACCGTTTAAAATAAGAACTCTTTTTAAATATCTAATGTAGATTTATTGAATTTTTTTAAGTTTATGCAGTTAATTAATTATCCAGTTGAAATTCTCAATTCACTCAATCCTCCTGGATTTCCACTACATTTATTAATATTAAAAATTGGTTGTCCTATAATGCTTCTCAGAAATCTTAGTCCACCAAAATTGTGCAATGAGACACGTCTACGAATTATTGGTCTACAAAAGAATTTGATTGAAGTTATTATTATGACTGGATATGAAAAAGATGAATCAGTTTTTATTCCTCGCATACGAATGATACCATCAGATTACCCTTTCCGATTCAAGAGAATACAGTTTCCTGTAAAAGTATGTTTTACCATGACAATAAACAAATCATAAGGGCAAACATTGAAATTTGGTGGGATCGATATAAGAGAAGATTGTTTTTCACATGGCCAATTGTATGTGGCATGCTCCAGAGTCAGTACGCCCACGAGTTTAGTTATTTCGGAACCAACAGAAATTACAGCTAATGTAGTTTATCGAGAAATATTATATTAATGATAAAAATCAGCTTAATAAACAATTAATATAATATGACATATTTTTTGAAAAAATCTTATTTAAATGTAATTTAACTGGACAAAGTCTATTTTTTAATCTTACCATACATTAATAAACCCGGCAACGACGGGTAATTCAGCTAGTCAATAATAAAGTAATATTAAATTATTAAATAGATAATAATCATTTTAATATATACACTGACTCAAAAATGTTTATATAAAATACATAGTTATATACTTTTAAGTTATAATAGTATATTATGATGTGTAACAGCAGTAGCGTCATTTCGGGTTTTAATAGAGGGGCAAAGTTTTGACCAGGATCCAGGACAAATGGGTAGCTCAAAAGAAACGACAAGTTAGTAGCTACATTCGCAAGGATATGTTCGTTAATTTATTTTATGTTTTATAATATGTTTCTACTTCTTTTACCTTCATAAAATATTAATAATATAATCAGATTTCATAAAAATCCACGCATGCGTCTAGATATAAATAAATTCCAACTATTAATTAGTTATTTAACAATTAATCGTTATAACAATAATATTAATAGGTAGATGTAAATCACGAGTGCAGCGAGCGACTTTGTAGAACATAGTTTGTTGAAGTTTCAACACAGTGGCTTTTTGTACAAGTAAGACGGACACATAGTACTAAGATCCTAGGTACGCCACTGCGTAGGTATGCCTTTAAAATAAGTTATTACATACCTCAACTATTTCATCGAGTTTAACCCGGATTTTACTCGTAAATATTATACAATACTACATCAGTGAAGTATGCAATGAAATAAACCAAATTTAAGAGACCATCTGGGATAGGTCTATTCAATTTCTCGATGTTATTATTAAGTACAGGTTAGGTATACTACTAAACTGCATACTACACCGTGCAAAAAAATAATAATAAATGAGTCGCGGACTTCAAAATATAAACCTAGATACGAAGTTTTTGAGTTCCCGAAGTGTGAGTTTATAATTCGTATATATAGCGCAGTAGTGCCGTACGTAATTAGGAAGAAAAGCTTTTGTAGCTTTTTAATACTTTAAAAAGCATTCCAGATGAGCTCCATTTCTTGATATTAGCATAAGGTATACAGGATGGTTCATTTAAATGGGTACACTAATTATTTCTTAAAGTATTAACTTTTTTCGATTTTTTTTTTTTAACTTTTAGGCTTATGTTTTTTCTAAAACCGTATAATATTGATGAAACCACTATCAACTTTTGATTTCCAGATGGTGACATGTAATTAAAATATCATGAATTAATAAAAAAAAAAATTGTCATGAATTTAAGTGTTAATAGTTTTATTTTTCGTTGATTAGTCTGTGAGATACAGCTCCTCATAGCATTGGTGATTTTTACTATTTTTCCGATAATCGTAAAGACTAGTAGCTAGTAATAAATTCGATATCACTGAATCCATAAAGTAACAAAAGAAATCCAATCAGTCCAATTAGTCGATAATAAGTTAATAAACGATTAGAGTTCAAAGTACAATAGTAATTTTTAATTAATTGTTATAACTAATTTATTCTCAACATAGTAAAGAACACAACGAAATAAAATAAATCATTATTAGGTATAATATAATTGTATGCGTATAATAATTACATTTCATTTAAATATAGATTTTAGATTTTGAGAGTATCAATGACGATGTTCGTTTTATAATAATGAAGTGTACCTATATAGATATGAAAAAAAAGCTTCGAATTTGTTACAGATATATTTTGTATATATGATAATTATATGGCTCTTTATGACTATAAATAAAGATTAATCATATTACTTCATAATATATAGTCACTTAGCGGTCTTCTTAATTGGAAACTTTTAGGATTTTAGTATTTTTAGGATAGATCATTTTCTGGAATTTAATTCATGAGAATTTTGGTTGTTGTTGAATTATATTGTTGGTTAAATTTAATGAACAAAAAATTTGATTACCTAAGAATGCATTTTTTTTATTTCATTAACTTTAAAGTACAAGTACTTAATGTTGATGTCCAAAACTACAGTTTAGATTTATTTTCTATATTTTTCTCTTTGGCCGCTGTTCGGCCAATTTGAATAGAAACTATGTACATATATGTACATATTTAATTATATTATATTATTATAATATTATCTGATTTTTACGGTCGAATTTCCGCTGCCATCACCACGATCTCTGTTGAGGTGGTGCTTGCGTTTTCTTTTTTGTTATCCGTAATCTGTTTATGCCCGTCTATATAATACTATATATTATACTAATAATATAATGTAACTGCCTGCCTATTTATAATAATAGTATAAATATTGTGGTTACGGTCACACACATCGTTACGCACGATCTCTGCATCAACAAGTACTTCTTATACGCGAATCTAACCACAATAGTCGTCTAAACTCTAATGTCTATATTTAGTAACTGAAAGTCGATTGATAAGTCATGATTTTGTTTGGCTATAACTTTATAAGTATATTCACTTCATACGACCTTTTTTTGTTTCTTTTGGTACTGGGGTGCATGTGAGGTATATTTGCAGTTTTCGATCAAAGGACTTACATCTTAAAATAATTGTACAGCTCTATATTCTTCATTGTGATTTGTGACTTTTACACGTAACAAACAAATTATTAAATATTAGTTGATAATTATTGGTGTTTCCGAATCATGTACGAATACTTATTATAAAGAAATGATGAAGGTAAAATTTCGTGAGTAGTTTTCTCACGACAGAATCGAGTTGAGTGCGCAGTAACAAAGAACTGATTAGCATTAAATGCAATAGCAACATAATATTTAATATTCAGTATAAATTATTAGCTATATGTATATAGCAATATAAAAAAATAAAATGTAATGAAAATTCTTTATTCTTTTTCCCAACGTTCGTTTACATATATACTTATCAAGTAATAAACATATCTATTCACCATACTCTAATGTAATCTCAATGAGGAATACAATATCATAATAGATCAAATTTGGTTGTTATATACCTAAAAATATATGAAAATATTTTGAGTACTTATAACAATTTGAGTAATATGTTGAGTTAAGTCAAGTAATCGGTAGAAGTCAATTAAAATCAAGTAATTGCTATGAGTCAATCATTAAGTCAAAAATCGACTTTGCAAATACAAAACATTAAATATTAGGTACATATTAATACATAAATAAATCTTTTTAAGTCAATTACTCCCCAATGATTACTAATTTACAATGTTACTTAATAAATAATAGAACACATTATTATACTTACATTTAGTTTCAGCATAGCATGGCCAGGGCACCGTGGTCACGAGCGCTTGAGCTTTTCTTTTTAATTTATAAGCAGTGCCTCCACCAAGTGGGGCCTTAGGAGTGTCACATACACGAACACAACATTTTTATTTAAATCGTGTTTTTATTTTTATTTATTACAAACATATTTATTTAACTTTGAATTCTGACATTACACCAATTAGTTGGCTTACAAAATACAATTCTTTAACATTTTAGCTGGTGGTGAGTGGAAGGAAGAGGACCAACCTAACCTTAGAGATCTAGGCAATTTACATGCCAGGTTGGTATTGTGTACACTCGAGTTTAACTGACTTTAAGTGTATAATGTCTTGTAACTATTGAACATTTTATGTTCAGCAAACAGCTTGCATAAACAATACTTTGTTATATATTATGCGTGTATTGTATATAGTATTTATTATT